TGTTGTGATGTTTGGGGGTTTTTGTTTAGTTTTGGTGTTTGGTTGGTTTTGTGGTTTTTGTTGTTGATGATGGATTTATTGTTTGTGGGGTTTTTTGGTTGGTTTTTTTATTTTTTATTTTTTATTTTTTTTAATTCAGCGATTTGTAAAACTGATAGGATGCATTCCATGAAACATGTAAACAGCAAATTCAGTTTATTAATTAAATTTATTTTCATTTAATTGATGTAAATGTGACATAATTGTATATGACTCCAAGTTACTTTTTCTTCACAAATGGTTAAGTGCTTGTTTCATGAAGACTTGTGGTACAGTACAGGATAGCTCTTTTCTCATACTGCTTTGGCTGAAGATTTTAGGAAGGATATTGTTTAGAAACTTGAACAGACTTCTGGTTTTTTAAATATTAAGGTTTTTGCTGTTTTCATATCTCATTCATGGATAACTGTTTCCTCAAAGTCTAATGTTTCACTGCTGGCAAGCCATTAAAATGGTGGCAAACATCAAGAGCATTGTCTTGTTGTATAATTGAGTAGAGCATAATACAGGAAGAAAATTGTAATAGAGAACTGTGTCAAACTTAAGAATATTTTATCCGTTTCTTCATTTTTGTGGGAAGCTGAATCTTGATAATCTTTGTAGCTAAATGCATCTGTGTTAAACATTTAAAATAGGTAGTACTCATGGGAAAACTGATTGGAGCTTAGAACTTGTACAAATTGACAGCCTCTCTTCACTCCATTTTTCATCCTAAAGAAGTCTGCAAATATTCTTAGCTCACATCATTATTGCTCATCAGTGATTCTAATTAGCTAAACAGGAGTTTGTCTCAGTCATTGATCATCATCAGCTTCTTGACAGTGCCTGAGTTTCCCCCCCCCCCCCCATATTCCAGTGGACTTTTAAGAATACATTTTAAATACAAAAGCTCAAGGATTCAAGTTGTTCAAAGAGTTTTTTTCTGAGTATTTGTTACCCTTTTAAAAAAGAAGAGATGATGACTGCATTTCCTATAAAGTCCCATTTTACAGTGTGACAGCAGATCCAAATATGATGTATAAGTTCCAGTCTGAAATACTACCTTGATTATCTGTGGGGAGCTATCCTGTAAGAAGCATGGGAAAATGTCCTATGCCATGAGGAGAAACTGCTAATAAAGTTGCATTTGAGGTTTCAGCTTATACTTTAGGCTTCTGACAACTTCCATTTTGTACTTAACTTCTAATAAGTAAAGCATTTTTCTTTATCTGTGGGTGGTTACATGTGAAACGATTTTTGGGGGCATTAGAAGCATGTGGTATCCAGAAAAGCTTGAAAGAAAACATCGTAAGGGCAAAATACATTAAATTTATTCAAACTTTTCCTACTCATGATTGTGATGATAGATCTCTGTTTATAAACTATGTTCTTTGACATCTTTGTTTAAAGGAGTGCTTTACCAAGCATTGGAAAGAAAATAGGAAGGGAAATAGGTGGAAACTGCTGCATTTAACTAGAAATGTGCTGTGAACTGTTGTCTAGTATGTAGCTCTGTTACAGGTGTATTTTTTGCTTTAACAGTGATCTGTTTCTTTTTTTTCCTTTCCAGTCTCAGACTTTATTCTTTGAACCCATGTTTTGAAACCACATTCTAAAGTCAGAGGGCTCAGAAGATTCTTAACTACCAATAATAAATCAGAATTAGCTGTGCATACTGTTTTTCACAGCTGTTTGTTCTTTTACCTGGCTCTTGGTTCCCTTATTTGCTTCCTCTGTTTTCTCCCTAAAATAAGTTTAAAAAATTAACCACTCACAACTCTGAAGTTCCTTAGGGATACGTATCTAACTTTCCAGATTTTCAGATCATTTAATGCATTAGAAAACAAGTTTAGTAATAATTTTCAAGTGATGATTGCATAGTTCAGTTAGGAGACTAGCTGATTATATGGTTTTTGTGTCTTGATTGAGTCTCACTTTTTGAAAGTCTGACTTTAAGAGAGGAGATGGGACAATGATGGCGTATCATGAGTGGTAGACTTAAGGTCAGGATACTTCTGAGATTTGGAAACAATGCTGTTCAGTACTTCATGGGGCTTGTGCATGGCTAATGGTGTGATTCGTTCTGTGTCTGCTCTGGACTCTTCCAAGTACTTTACTACAAAGTACTTGGAATAGTCACGTGCAGACACTTTCCTTTTTGTCTTCTAAAGCTCTTAGGATTTTGAATCAGCTAGTGTGTGTCTAATCTTAAGGTGTCTAGCTGTAATTAAGACGTGAGGAAACTTTGAATGTTACATTTCTTACAGTTCAGATTTATATAGGTCTGTCACTTCCTCAGGTAGATTGTAGTGTAGCATGCTTATGGAAGAGTGATAACCTTCCTCCCCAAATATTTGGGGTTTGATTACTGCAACTGTTGTCTTTCAGAAAGGGTAATTGCTGATAGCCATTTAAGATCCCACTGCAAAGTAATTTAATATGAAGAAGCATTAGTATTTCTAAATTGGAACAGTTTTTGTTTCATTTACATTTACCTATCATGAAACAGTATGTCTCCTTCAGGAACATTCACAGACTTTTGGGTTAAGTATTATACCCATAAACTATTCAGCCATTTTTACATTTTTGCTTACTAACTCCTGTTCTTACAGGTTTCTACTATCTTCTAGTACAAAGTTTTATATACTTACCAGAAAGTCATTTACCATGTTTTAAAACATGACTGAGAGTGTGACTGTGTGACTTCTGTTAGCTAGATACATATTACAGGCAGGGTAAATCAGTTTCATAGCCTCATAACCTGTCATGTTTTGAAACCTGTTTATTGTTTTTGAAAAGACATCATAGCACAATTTTGGAATGCATTAAATGATTTCATATTTGCATGAATTTCTGTAATCACGTCTACTGAGTTACATTCCTCTAAGTTTTCAGATATAAACTGTGACAGCTATAGGTGGTCTGTAGCTGCACAAACAATTTGACCTTGACAGACACTTACTCGGCAAGCTGTCTTGTTAGCTCGTTGAAGTAAACAAGTCCCCAAGTATGAAAGTGATTGGCTGAATTCAGGCTCAAATGAGGGGACTCCAGCCAGTTCCTCTGGCCCAAGGATGCACCCACATCATTGCCCAGTGAGCTGGGCAGAGTTGAGACCTTTGTCCAGTCAACTCTGTGTGAGCCAGAAATTTTAAGCCCATATAAAAGGGTCTGCCCTTCGATAAATGCTGGCTGTTGCTGCATGGACATGGAGTTTCATGTCACTTGTCTGTCTCTGAAACTGCAACAATAAACTATGAAAAACTGTCCATACTATTTATTTTACTGCTTATGACTTTCTAGCAACCTATCATGCAATGGCTTGTTGGTTCTGATTGGAGGTAATCAGATGCTTTAAGGTCAGTATCTGATATTCATTTTTTTGTTAAATTTCTGCCTCTCAGTTAAAATGTTAAATAAATTTCAGATATGAAATGTCTTTTGGAATACTTCATCATCTGATTTGGAATATTCATCATCTGATTTCACAGTGCTGAGTTATTTTCTTTATGAAGAAGATTTTTTTTTTAAATGCAATACAACTAAGACTGCTTCCCATATATTTTTATTTTTCTTAAGTGAAATGTAGTTTAAATGCATGCCTTTTCAGATAGCTTTTTCTTAGTTTTCTTCAAGTCCTACAACATATTCTTGCTGTATTTTTGAAATAGGAGAGAGGTATTTAGATGAGACATGAATTTCCAAAACCCTCACTTCAAATTCCATACCATTTTTCTTTAGTTCTTTGTTTACTCAAGATTGGATTAGATATTTTAGCAGTCATAGAACTTTATTAAAAACCACCACGTTATTGGATGGTCTATTAATGTCAGTGTAGTTTAGTTTCTAAAATCTCTCATAGCATTAGACTACACAGTAATACTTATTAGTGAAGAAAAATAATCCTTCATGTATGTACTATCCTTATTGGCCACTGTTACAGAATGCTTTGGCAGATTAAACCTTTTGTGTACAGCTGGATATTTTCATCCAATTTAGACAGATTTACAGACTCATGTGTACTAGTGTTTCATTCCCTTACAGCTCTGAAATATTCCTTATTTGGTAGAGGAAGAGTTGCTCAAGTGGGATTCTCAAGCTTCTGTAGGTGGCTGATACCAGCCCTGATGAAAGTTTCAACTGTATTGTGAGAACAGAGATAATCTGAATGAGTTTCTGCTTCTGTCAGCTGTGGTGCTGCAATTGCCTGAGATGTTCAGACATTTTTAGGGAATATATATTTCTCAGCCCTTTAGTCATACATGTGATAAGAACTTTTGTGCTAAGGAATATGAATATCCTTACTGTTGTGACATTTGTTTTCTTTCTGCCTAAAATGGAGGCCAGCAAGGGCATCAGTGTTCGAACTCAGTTAAGAAATAAGATAGCAATGAAGTGAGGTACTTTGTTAAACAAACCAAAGTGTTGCAGAGGTGATGATAGATGTGCACTTATTGTGGCTCTGCTCATCCCCCTTACTCAAGCTTCTGAGTCTTTTTTCTTCTGCTAGTAGAAGTTATTCATTCTGTCCCTGTGGAATATAGAAAAATAATTATCCATGATGTTCAGAAGTGTTGTTTCAGACATAAAAATGCCATGTAACTGAGATAAGGACTTCACAAACTGAAGTAGCTTGGTGATTCTACATTGCAGAGAAGGGGCAAAGGCATTTTGCTCACTCTGTATTCAAATACACTTTTCTACATTTGGGAAAGAGCGAGAAACCAATAATTTCAGCTGCTTTAAAAATATTAAGACCTCTTATTTCTGTTTCTTTTTGAACAAAGCTGTGTTAGATGTTTACAGATGTAATTTGCTGTCACTTGCCATATGCTCCCTGATTAATTCTGCAGGGCCTGTCAGCTTCAGATAATTTAATTTTCTGTGCTTTAAAATGACATTCATTATCAGGACATGAAAAATTCAAATGATTAACTGCAAATTATGACTAATAAAGTGTCTATTTTTTTGTTTGTTTCCAGAGAAAAACAGAAAGCTGAAATTAAGGACAGAAGCATTTTAGAGGTTTTGCAAGCCAAAGACAGCAAAATAGAATCTTTAGAACCGGTTTGTATTGTGTTTTAATAGAGCAGTTAAGAAAACTTGTCATTGACAACACATTTATGTTTGTCAAAAGGAGAAAATAGTTTGCTGTTGTCTCTTAAGAAAAAAGTTGTGATTCAGAGATTGCAAATTTCTGATGAAGTATTATTCAAACTCTTCTGTGTTGTTCAAACGGTTGATCTGTTACCTGAAAAGTTCATGTCATTTTAGATTAAACTTTTTCTGAAAAATCTTGTCAGTTCATTGCCTCATCTTACCCTATAGTCTAACCTAAACTTGGATCTAAGTCTAGAAGAGTGTTCTGGTTTGTAATATGCCCATGCACATCTTGGTAAGATTTGCCATCCTGACAAGTACAAAATAATAAACCTGATGCACCTTCTGCCTGACAAGGAACACCACTGAACTGGTGGTGTTTCTCCTTTTATTTATTTTTTAATCCATTCATATTTAAACAAATATATAGAAAACATACATTATATATGATATGAAGTACAAAAAGTATGTCGTATTTTATTATATATTTTTTTGTTATAGAGACTGTGTAATGTATATATAGTAGATTATCTGTATCCTGTATATAATCTATAAAGTATATTACATACTTTATATACTATAGAATTATGTCCAATATTTAATACATTAGATGTAATATAATGTATTACATTGCATATAATGCGTAGATCTATGAAAGATGTAAATATCTGAAAAATGATACAGTAAATAAAATTATAATACTGTTTATTATTGAATAAACTTTATTTTGTATTACAGCAGTGGCTGAAGTTTCAGTGTGGTGTCTGTGGCCGTAGGTGTGATGTGTAATCTGTTTGGTGCATACACACACAGCATGTTTAGAAGCCAGCAGTGTATGATTTCTGCCCTGTCCTTACCTGAAAGGCAAAATACCTGTGAAGACCTTTATAGGAATATGTATGCAGTACTGTGCTTTTAAGAAGGCTCCCTGCTGTGGCAGTGTCTGAACTTGGGATGTGCATTCTCCATGAGGTTGCTGTCTGTGGTTTCAGATCAATTTCAGGAGCTGAAACTCTGATTGATCAGAAATCTGAAATTGATGATGTAATGAATTTATATCATCCATGTGGAAATGGAAAGAGACTGGTAAATGTAATTAAAACCATGGAAATCTGGCAGCCAGAAAAGAAGAGTTTGTCAACAGGATGGTAAAACTCTGGATATCCATAAAAACTTGGGATTGAGAGGCTGGAGACTAGCCCCACAGAAAATACCGGGATCCTTGTTCACAGAAAGTTGAACATGGGTCAGCAGTGCCCTGGCAGCCAGGAGGGCCAACCCTGTCCTGGGGTGCATCAGGCACAGCATCACAGCTGGGCAAGGGAGGGGATTGTCCTGCTCTGCTCTGAGCTGGGGCAGCCTCACCTCCAGCGCTGGGGGCAGGTTTTGGATACTGCAGTAATGATGGTTGTGTAGGGCCTTGAGGGAAGACAGGAGTGACTGAGGTTACTTGGTTCAGCCTGGTGAGGAGGAGACTAAGGGGAGATCTCATTGGGATTTAAGACTTCCTTATAAGGGGAAGAGGTGGGGCAGCACTGATCTCTTCCCTCTGGTGACCAGTGATAGGACCCAAGGGATTGGCTTGGAGATGTCAGTGTAGGTTTGAGTTGGATATTAGGAAAGGTTTCTTCACCCTGAGGGTGATTGGGCACTGGAAAAGGCTCCACTGGGAAATGGCCATTGCACTAAGCTTGCCAGAGTTCAACAAGCATTTGGATAATACTCTCAGGCACATGGTGTGATTTCAGAGGTTGTCCTGTACAAGGCCAGGAGTGGGACTTCGTGGTCCTTGTGGGTTGCTTCCAAATCAGGATATTCTGTGACTCAGTGATTCTAACAGATGAGGAGAACAGAAGTTGTTTTGATGGTCATCACAGCTCTAATGTGGCCCTTACAATCAGCTTCCCTTAGCGTATCATTGACTTGGGGGAGTAGGTTGTGAAGGGCACCAGATGTTGCCAGTGCTGTGTATGAAAGCCGTGTACAGAGGTGATGTCATGCTGACCTTCTTGCCTCATCCATTGGCTGGGATGCTGTAGGACTGAATCAAGAGAGGGATTGCTTCCTGAGTGCCAAGTTTTAGTGATTTGGTATCAAAGAATGGAGCTGGCTTAAAAAACAATGTAATGTTCTTATTTATTTTGTATTACTGAATATGCTTCTTCTTCGTTCACCTAAGGAAGAAAATATTCTATTTATGTAATTAACATGCAAATAGGTTGTGTGTGAAAATGTGCATTTTGACAGTCATGGTAATGAATGTTCTTTTCTGTAAAGTGCAGACAGGAAGACTTGAAGGCTGTTCATTTGACTAATTTTTTACATCTAGGAAGTTGAGATTAGCCAGTCATTTCTTCTGTTGTTTTTCTCTTTGCCTTCATGCATCGCACAGAGATACCAGTTGCAACAAGGTAATTTGTTGTAGGGTTTGTTGTCTAGGATTTTCTGAGTGGCCCCCAAAAAGCTGATTGTATAAATCAATGCTGAGTAAGGGAAAAAAGAAAAATCAATGGACTGTCTCATCATTTGGCATAGATGTAAGCTTCTATTGCTTCTAGAAATAACAACAGAACTGTATAAGAACATGAAATTGTATTTCTTGTCTTGTATTAGTCTTGCTTAGACTGACATGCCTAAAAGGACTTAAAAAATTTCTGTAAATATGAGAGCATATTCTCCACAGCCTAGATGAGATACATCCATGTAGTTAGCTCAACCTGAAAGCTAAAGAAGTTTAATTAATAAAGAGATATTTCAAGTATTAGAGAAGTTTCTATTTTAATGGATATTACTGAAAATCAAGTGAAATAGTAAATTTGGAAGCTATGATTCAGAAGTAATATCATCGTTGATCACATTTGTATAACCTAACAATGAAGAAAAGTGTTCAGATACTTATGAAAATGGGACTTGTGGCTTTACGGATGAAAGTATAAATCATAATTTTTCAAGTCTTCTGCTGTCCAGTATCTTTGGACTACAATATATGTGTTGAACTTCTGTTTACTTAGTACAACTTCAGGTTTTCTCTGCTCCTAAATTATGGAGTTGCAATCTTCAGTTTTATATACATGAATAAGACCTTTTTCTTTTCATGAGTTTATTCCATAACTTCATATTGTGTTAAAAATTTAAAATATGAATTAGTGTGGATGATTTCAAGATGTACCATTCAAAGATACAAATAAATTTGTTAAAGCACTTAAGATTATTCTTGTCTGTTATTGCACATAAATTCAGCACAGAATGTATTGTATTTGAGTTTTCCATTGTACTTTTCCCTTCTTGCTTTTTTTTTTTTAGTTGGTGTAGTGGTAACTTTTGGTCCTGATAGTCACAACTTGGCCTCATCTGGCATACGGATATATTTATTGTAAATGCTGTGTGGTAAAAATCCTATTCCTTTGAGATTTTGAGATTCCTTTGAGTGTCTTGAGTGCTATTCTGACTTTTTGCTGTTATTTTTGTTTTATGCAGCATCTCAAAACTCTATTCTTAGCAGTTATATATGCCTGACATGTATGCATTGAAACTTCTCTGTTTCAATGAAAAGAATTTCTAACTGCTATGTTTAAGTGGCTGGGACACTCTCTTAGGATTTTACTTCTTCTGAAGACTAATAGGTACTTTGCTGCAAAACATATTTTCATTGTCTTTTTTATTTGGAAACATTTTTAACATGTTGCATTTAATTTATAGTAATTGTGTGTATCTTAAATAGATCACCAATGCTATTTGCATCTTTAAATGTAAGATGAGTTTTTTGGGGGAATGTATGAAATTTTTAAATTCAAGCAATTAGTTTAGCAGATAATGCTGGAGCACGGAACAGTCTTCTGCCATTCACACAATAGATAAATTAAAATATCTTAACCTGTTTTCTTTAGAAGATGACATTAAAGGCAGGTAAAAATAGCCGTAAACCTTTTCTTATAACATTGTTAATTAATTAGCTTTCAATTTTGATCTGGAGGAACTAAAGCTAATCTTTTTGTCCTAGACCTTGTAACGTTTCAAAACCTTATCAACTGATTATACTCTAGAGGGGTTAAAATAGTACTAGCTTGCCTCATTATCTGCTCTTGAAAATCTTCAGCTTGCTGTGCAAATCTATATTAAAGCCTCTTTAATGGGTCCAGTTGAAAGAAGCATAATTCTACCTTCAAGCATTAATTAATACTGATAAATTTTTCTTTACTTTTGTACCTTTGCCTGGTTATATTTTTCTTTGTAATAAAAATACTTTTATTAAATTAGAACAAATGTATAGAGACATTATTACCATCTAAATACTTTATTTTCAGTAGCATGTAAGCTTGATTATTTTTGGGTAATGAGGGACATGAGGATAATTTTCATAATAAGGAGTTCCAATGAATGTCAGCAGTGTTGAGATTATATGAATTTTATAAACTCTTTGCACAAAATGTTGGTCCAGTGAATAAGATTTATATATAATGCAGACAAAGCATGTTGAAGGGGACACTAACAAATTTTTTTTTCTTTAAAAAAAAAAAAGTGTCTCAGGTTGTGCATTGGAAATGGGATCAGCCTTCAGTGGTGAAACCTGTGTTTTATGTAGCACCTTTGAACTGCAAAGTGAATTATCATATGTCTTTTTGCCTTTCTGTTTGACGTCTTCTTGTTAGTTTTCTCATAAAATTAAGGGAAGGAAACATTTTTAAGGAGCTGATATCTGTGAGAAACATGGGAAGAAAAATATACAGACAGTAGAAAATTGCTGATTTTGGTTTATTGATAGAATGCTGCCTGGGTAGTATTATGACTATGGCTGACACCTGTGGGCTTTTTTGACTGAAGAAATTAATAAGCTCTAAATTACAGTGTACCTTTATAGCTCATTAGTATTTTTGTATGAATTCCCAGTAGGAAGACTTTTTCTACCACTTGAAAAAGTGCTTCTGTGAGGTAGCTTGCTCCATTTTGAGGAAATAGTTTTTAAACTT